AAATAAGAGTAAAAAGGAAACTCCTAAAATTAAACTGAAGAGGTTTGAGTAAAAGGAAAATAATAAATGCTCAAAAATATGCATAAAGGAAACTTCAGCATATACTCCCACACAATGTAACTATTTCATTTACCATTAGACAGCTAAGGCTCACAAAACATATTCCCATCTAAGTGGGATCAAATAAGAGTAAAAAGGAAACTCCTAAAATTAAATTAAGAGGTTTGAGTAAAAGGAAAATAATAAATGCTTTGTGTCTTTTGTTTGCTCTGGCTCTTGTTCTCATTTTTATTTCAATAAGATCTCTTCACTCATCTTTTATGTTTTATGTGTATATCTTAGATCATTTCCTGTTTTATTTTGAAATTTTTATTTGTTTCACTTCATATCTTTATATGTAACTATCTTCTCAAACCCTCTGCAAACCAATAAATAAATCCAATATATTTTTATAGGATATTTTTACACTCTGATTTTTTCACTACCTGCTCACTAAAAGATGGACCAACACTATCAGTAGTAGCAGGATCTGTTTTCAGGAAAATCACAAACTTTATTCACTACTCTTTTTCTACTGATTGAAAACACACACACACAAACAAACTTTGGACCTTTGAGAATCAAGAGTCTTATTTCTATAGATATCTTGATGCATTCTCAATCATCCAGGAAAGTAAATCTCCAAAAGTTAATTCTGTTCATCTAGACGTAGAGTTTTGTGGGAGAAACGTTTTGTCACTCATCCAAGTGACTTCTTCAGTCTCAGCTGACTGCATGTTTCCCCAAATCATACATTTGCATAATGACTGAAACCAGCTCACTGAAGGAACAATGGGCTGTTTATAAGATTTGGGGAAACCGCAGTCGGTAACCTGCAGTCGGCTGAGACTGAAGAAGTCACTTGGATGAGTGACGAAACATTTCTCCCACAAAACTCTACGTCCAGATGAACAGAATTAACTTTTAAGTTAACTGAATTTAAACAAAGGCCTGGATCTGCACCACAGCGACCAACAGAGGGAGCTGTCGTGCCACTCCTGACTTCATCATAAGTTCTTCTCTTGGCGCCCTATCATCTGCTTTCTCTAATCCTAAAAAGATAAAGTGAAGCTCTTTGAGACCTTCTCTATACTTCTCCATCACTCTCAAAGCAAACATCACACCTGTAGTTCTCTTTCTCAGCATGAAGTCATGCTGCTGCTCATTGATCACCACCTGTCTTCTTATTCTAGCTTCAACAACGTACCATTTCTTCATGGTATGGCTCAACAACATTATCCCTTTGTGGTTGCTACAGCTCTGCACATCAACCTTCTTCTTAAAAAACAATACAAGTACTTTTTTTTTCTCCATACCTCAGGTATCCTCTCATTCTCTCCAGGATTGTTTTAAACCATCTAGTTAAAAAAAAAGTCCACCACCCTCTCTCCTACACATTTCCATCAGGTATGTCATCTGGACGACCTTTGCATTCTTCTTCCACTCTCTGTTTATCCTGTTTAACGTAACCTAGTATTCCAGTCTGCCTTCTTCATCTCCCTCCCTATTATTATTATTGTTTAAAAATTATTAATAATTAAAAAAATCAATGCATTAAAACATTCTACTTTTTTTTACTACTCTTAAAGATTTAAAATGATACATAATTGTTTTGTAATGACGCTTTTAATCTGTCGGCTGTGTTTTCTGTTTCCGCTGGCAGTGAATGCATCATGCGGACGTTTTCGAAGCGTCATCCAATCGCTGCTCGGAGGGGCGTGGCTAAATAAACTTGGAGACCCTTGCCCTTGCTGGCTGTGGCACTGGAGTCTCTCATTCATTCAATAAACCCGTTCAGCCGTCATGTTTCCTTGTTCTGGACACACTGAGACGCTCACACACCTGCTGAAACCTGAGATGTTCTGCACGAAACGACGCGCTGTCTGTCGCCTCTCCACTGCCCTTAAATCCATTGATAACCTTTTTTATATAAGTGTTTTAGTTTAGCCCCACGGCTGTGACAGCTGTCAGGCGTCAGAGACACCGCTTTGATTTCAAACGTCATGCATAAATATTATTAACTTAACTGTCAAATTGTGTATTTGCATATTTTGTTTTTTCTTCCGTTGACAAGAGAGAACAAAGAGAAGCTGTCCACATGTCCCCGCCACAGGGCCCCCAGCTCAGCTCCAAATTTCATTGGCTACACTTTTATATCATTCGACCTATCGCGGAGGACTCACTGAGGAAACCCTAACATCGGGTTCTGTGATTGGCCTAGACGTTTGGCGCCTCTTGAATCCGCCGCAGCCGTAGTGGGCGGTGAGGCGGAGGAGCAGTTTGAACAGAGTCGCTGTTGCCTAGGCGGAAACATTGAAATCCAAATAACTTTTTACAAGCAGGCTGACACCAAACGGTGCGACTGTCCCTCATAGACGCACAGTTTCTGTGTCCTAACCAGCCTTGGAGCGAAGGAGCCGGTGTGAGTTATTTCATTTACCGGCTCTGGGTGCGTGAAGCCGGGTGTTGCGCGAGCTCGGTCGCTCCCTCCTCCTGAGTTAAACTGCTAGCTAGCCACCGAGCTAACGTTACAGCTAGCCGTAACACGGAGCGAGCTAATCTGCAGCACAAAGGACGACTTTGCCCGTGTTTGTCGCATCGATCCGGATCGCTCCGTTGGATGAGGCCAGAGGCTCGGGTGGAGGTGAGAGAAGCTGTCAGTGTCCGTGGCTGTGTTCACGGGGCTTTTGTTGTGGGCTGCTCTTTGTGCTCTTGGGCGCCTCAATCTTTGTTAACTCGCCAACTGTTAGCTAGCTCGCCGGGGTACCGTGCCAATTCTTGTATCCCCGTAAATATTGACTAGCCTATAAAGAAGCCGTCTTTTTATAAATCACTCGGAGGAGGGTAATCATTCCGATGGATCCACCGTCCACTCGTGTTTTGGGACCTTTGTGAGCCTGTTTCTGGGCTAAGGGGAAGCACATTTTGAGGGGAGCCAAACTTGGCACGACATCCGCAAGCTATCGTTAGCTCGAAGCTAGCTCACAGAAAAAGGCTGGTACA